ACTTTTACTAGATAATGATGAGTAAATATTACATGAATTTGTAGCATTTAAATTTACCTAACAAACGTTAGTGCAAATAGTTATGAGGATTTTTTTCAAGTAAATCTTACAAGTTATTTTTTACAGTGTGGAATCAACAGAAGTGTGTAGAAATAAGTACATTTACTTTGTTTCAGTCCTTAAGTAATTTATTTGAGGACCTGTAAAATATTTTTTAATTGTAACTTTGACTTACACTCAAAGCATAAAAATAATACTTTTACTTCTTTACTTTAAATTTTACTGTCTCCTTACCTGTCACAAATATAAATATGACCAGAACGCATCATGAAAGGAGATTATGCACTCTTAAAAATGAGGTGTTGAATTTATTTAACCAAGTTATGTCAGCTGTAAAGCTGTTTATTCAGGTCTGTTTAGTGGAACCAGTTTGGTTCAGTAAATTCAACACTTCATTTCTTTATGTTTACAAGTACTTTTACTTTCCTAATTATTGTGAGCTGTTTTATGAGTTTTTTTACTTAAGTACTTTTCTTATCAGTAAATACTTTAACAGAAAAGGACTTTGGTAAAAATGAATTTTCATTGATAAGAAAAGTACTTTATACACCTCTGGAAATATTAATCAATATTACTGTCTATCAGCAAAATAACTCACAAATCACTAGATATGTTAATGAAGCAATGCTAGATATTTGTTAATATTCAATGAGAATTTTATTTTTACTTAATAAAACTAAATTAAATGAGTTTAACTTGAATGTCTCTTTCACAGATTTAATAGTGGTCATTGCCTCCATCATTGTGCTCGGTGTTGGGTCGAATGGCCAGGTGTTTGCCACGTCAGCCATCAGGTGCAGTAAAGAGTTGGTTAAGGAGTAAATAATTCACATGTAGGTAAGGTTTGATCACAATTTCATGACATTTTTCTTGGGTTTATGTGTCGCAGAGGGATCCGTTTCCTCCAGATCTTGCGGATGCTGCATGTGGATCGTCAGGGAGGGACGTGGAGACTCCTGGGATCTGTCGTTTTTATCCACCGACAGGTACAAAGCTGCTTCTAATTTGATCAGCTTGGAAAAAAAAACTCATGAAAACTGTAAAATTAGTTTTAGGTATCATGATTCTACCAACCAGTCTCTGTTTATATGTGAACTGTGTCTTCACTCACACAGCATCAGCACAACTTGATGCTTTAATCCCCACAAAAACAGACTCCTCATGAGTAATCCAGTGGTCCTGCATGAGCAAAAACAAAAACTACAGAAGACCTGGCTTTATAAGGAGAAGAAAAGGTGTGGAGAAGGAACGCCAAACCTCCATTTTTTTTATTTGGACTGTAGTACACTTGTAGTACACAACAGTTAAACTATTTTTCCCCAGCCTGATGAACAAAGGAGTGAGAGGATGTAACGTTCTCTCATTAATCCCTGAAGTGCATCATGTTCCTTAAGTCAAATCTGACATTTATCTCTTTAAAAGCACAAGAGAAGCAGAACTCTGCTGACAAATGTGTGTGTGTGTGTGTGTGTGTGTGTGTGTGTGTGGGGGGG